CAGAAATAAGAAAAGTAATAAAGGCAGAGGGTATAAAGAAACAAAGAAACATTTCTGAAAACATGAAGAATATGAAAATATGTAATGACACTTAGAATGAAGTGAGGGAGGAAAATAGTGTGGGGCTGTGGCCACCACAAGCACATCTCAACCTCAAGCATGCAAATGAAATGCAGGAATAAAGAAAATAAAAGGTACACAAAATGACACGGCAAACATAAGGAGTTCCTTACGAAAAGGTTTTAATTTTTTAATATTTTAATTATGTAAAAAAATGTTTTAATTTTTTTAATATTTAAATTATATATATAAAAAGGTTTTAATTTTAAAATGGAATTACTTAGTTAAAAAAAATTTAAGTTTAAATTATATAAAAAAATGTTAAGTTTAAATTATATATATAAAAAAAATGTTTTTGGGAACAAAAAGGTTTTTTTGAAAAAAAAATGTTTACGGGAACAAAAAAAAGGCTTTTTTTGGAAAAAAATGTTTACGGGAACAAAAAAAGGTTTTTTTTGGGAAAAAAATGTTTACGGGAACAAAAAAGGTTTTTTTTGGGAAAAAAATGTTTACGGGAACAAAAAAGGTTTTTTTTGGGAAAAAAATGTTTACGGGAACAAAAAAGGTTTTTTTTGGGAAAAAAATGTTTACGGGAACAAAAAAGGTTTTTTTTGGGAAAAAAATGTTTACGGGAACAATTGGGAATAAAAAAAGGTTTTTTTTTTTGGGAAAAAATATTTACGGAAAAAAAAAAAGTTTTTTTTTGGGGAAAAAATGTTTTAGTTTTAATAAAAAAGGTTTTGATTTTGAAAAAGGTTTTGATAAAAAAAAATAACAATAGAATTGCAAATTCAAACAGACAATTAATGGACATGCAAACAATCCTATACGACACAATCATGGTTCATACAGATCAAAATCTACGGATCTAAACAACAATGAAGGTTAACATGGCAAGGATGCAAATAAATATGAAAAATGCAAAGGATTTAGTAATTTAACGGACCTAAACACATTAACATGGCAAAATATGCACATAAACATGAAAAGGCAAAAGGTTTAGTAATTTAACCTACGAAGCGGAGGTTTGCTTCGGTAAATGTGAATAAGGTTTGAATAAGGGAACACTGGAGAGCTCCAATCCTTCTAACGAGTTGTGGGAACGACCGCCTTTCTTCTCTGGGGATCTCCTTTGTTTCTCCCTCTCTCTCCTCTTTTCTGAAGAAAACCTTCTGACCCCTCTTAGGTTTTTTTTTCATTCTCCCCTCCTTTTCCAACAAGGCAACACATGTATATATAGGGAACAAATTAGGGTTAACACCAAATTGTCAATAATGTCCCTAAAGCCCATTTTAAAGCCCAAACTAAATAATTAGTTAAGAAAAAATAAAATTTAAATAATTTAAAATAATTAAAATAAACTTAAAATAAAAACTAATAATCCTATTGATTCCTAAAATAAAAAATATTATAAAAGGAACAAAATTTTTCAATATTTTTTTATTTTATGATTTTTTGGATATTTTTATGAATAATTTAGAAAAAAGTGAAAAAAATAATATTTTAAAAAATGATTTAATTAAAATACGAAAATAATAATTAAATAATAATAAAAAACTATTTTTATTATTTTTTTAATGAAAGATAGAAAAATTTAGAGTAAAAATAATAAAGAACAAAAAAAGTGACAAAGGTGAGATTTAATTTTTAAAATAGTTAGAAAAAAAAGATTTAATTTTAAAAAGAATTTAGAGGAAAAAAAGATTTAATTTTAAAAAGAAGTTAGAGAAAAAAAGATTTAATTTTAAAAAAGATAGAAAAAAAAAATTTAGTTTTAAAAAGGTTAGAAAAAAATATTTAATTTTAAAAAAGTTAGAAAAAAAAGATTTAAAGTTAGAAAACAAGATTTAGCTTTAAAAATAGTTAGAAAAAAAGATTTAATTTTAAAAAAGATAGAAAAAGATTTAACTTTAAAGAGGAGTTAGAAAAGGATTTAAAAAAAGTTAGAAAAAAGATTTAATTTTAAAAAGAAGTTAGATTTTTATTTTTTTAAAAAAATATTAGAATTTGATTAAAAATGTGTTAGAAATTAATTTAAAAAAAGGTTATAAAAAATTTACTCTCGAAGAAAAGAAAAAAAAAGTTAAATTTTAATCTAAATCCTAAAAGTTAGTAAGAAGAGCTTTAAATAAATAAACTAAATAGAAAAAAAAAAGTTAATAAAAAATATTAGTGAAGTTATAAAAAAAATTTAATTTAGTTAAAAAAACAAGATCTAAAAAAAAGGTTAATTTATTAGGTTAATAAGAATTTAAAATAAAAATAAAAAAGAAAGGGTAAAATTTGGGGTATTACAGATATCAATCATATCTAGAGCTAAAACTGCCTGGAAAATAGGGATCAAACTAAGGTTTTTCACTGATGATCTTTGGAAACCCTAACTCAAAACTTCTCAAACCCCTCAATCATGATGAGTTGATCTAGGAATCATCTTTATAACATCTCTATGCATCACTCCATGATCTCATGGCCCTTGGATTAGGTCTCAACCTTCTCCAAATCTTCAGTTATCCTAGGGTTGACCCAGTCAAAACCCTAATTCTATCATTCATGGTTGAATCTTCTGAACTCTTGCATAATGACTTCTCTGGCCTTCATGAAGGCTATCAAAACATCTCATAGGCTTTCCCAAAACATCAAGTTCATTCTCAAAGTCTCAGAATCATCTGAGGGGCACCCACAACTCTCAAGCTATGAAGCACACAACCCTGGTTTCAATCCACTTCCTCTGAGGATCTCTTGAACTTTCTGATGAAGGTATCCACTTTCAAACACTCAATGAATAAATAATTGTTGGTCAAATTTTGGGGTGCAACAATTTGTATGTTGAAACCTACAAAATATGTCAAACTTCTCCAAAACAATGCATTACTCGAAAAACGTCATTAAATCTTTTTAAACCTAAATATTTTAATTTTAACAAAAATAAGTTAATTAATTTTTTATTAAAAACAATATATAGTCTTTAAATTAGTGAAAATACTTGGATAAAACTACTAAAAGTGATGACTAATCATACCACTTGTTGAACAAGTGACTCCAAACACAAGGAAAACTTTTTTTTTACCAAAACGATTTATATTAGAATTGAAGATATAAGTATAGAGTAAGTAGTGGAAACGAAAATAACACCATAAAAATTTAAAGACATAAATATAAAGATATTATCCTGGTTCATCCTTTAAATCACACGACCTACTCTAGTACCCAAGAATTTTCTCTTGATATTTCCACTAAGCAATATATTTCCACACAACCTTAAAAACATGAGATTTAAAATAGGATCTGCCCAACAACCTTACACAAACAACTAGATCTTTTATACAAGTTCAATCCAACAACCATAAACCAAGATTTTTGCAAGTGTAGTTTTCAAGCATCAAGTCTATTACAAGATCACGAGATAACTATTCTCTTGAATATTCAAACTCAAAACAAAAGTGAAACACAACAACTTCCTAATGAAGATTTTCACTCTTTCAACTCTAAGGCAACTAATAGTGAATACAACTTATAAAAGAATGAGAATAAGAGAAATATGAGAGTTGATTATCCAGATTTTGATGTATTTAGAAGTTAGGAAAGTTCTCCTTTATATAGGAAAATATTTATCCCAAAAGGCAACAACCCATGGGACTTGGCGCTTTCTAATCTATTATAAAATTAACATAATCGATTAGGTTAATCCATAAAAGAACCCTAATTTGTGACATCAATTAATAATTTGTCCAGCCTATCTAATTGATTAAGAGGCATTACTCTTGTTCTTCACTTCTCCGAAGAAAACCAGTCGGTCTACTTTTTCACATGGCCGAGTTGAAAAGTCATAAAACGCAAGGAAACTTTTTTCTTCATATATCTTCAGATATTTAATACGTAACCTTAATAAGATTCATAGATACATTCAGTCGCACGAACTTCCATCGTTAATGAGGATCTCTAACATTGAATGATTTTCTATGGTTGAGGTTACAACCAAAGGAAGTGCATGTTAGGAGTTCCATCCACATTCTCATGGTCTCGAAACATTGATATCGATTTGTGTTTGTGTTACTTCTCAATCTACATACTGCTATGTGACAAAGGCTCTTTCTCGCTAGGCAGTTTCTAACCAACCGAATCGGCAACGAAGATTGGTAATGATCAAGTCTTGGAAGGATTTAAGATGTGCTCAGAAGTAGGATTTAAAATTGTTTTCTTTATCTTAGCGTGGCTGCTACAACAATCAAGACTTAAGTCAGACGAATCTGATTCTGGAAATTCGCATGAATTACAAGTCGATTCTCACAAAAGGCATTACTATTCGGTTCAAAATTAGAAATGATTAGTGAAATGATGATGTAATGTCTTGCTGCGCCAGAGTTGTGCTTTCGGTTCGGCAGAGAAAATACTGATTTGTAAGGTTAACACTCCAACACATAAGTTAATGAGAAAATATAGAATAATGTGAGAATGAAAGTGGATTTGAATCATATATTTTTCTTCATGTTAAAAACCTTATATATGAGAGTTGTTTGAGGTGTCCAACACCTAGATTAAATGTTAGACTTTCTCATATAAAACCTTTGACCGATCCAAAACACATACGATTCAAAATGATATTTATATTACAATCCGGAAGAGAATTTCTCAAAAATAAAAATGCAAAATATCTACCATAAAAGAATTATTTGTGAACTTAAAAATTATTTTCAAGGATTAAACGATTCTACATTTAAAACCAAAAACAAAAAATAGAAAAATCAACGCGAACCCAAGTCAATATCAAAGTCAACACCTTGTACCTGTTCCTAATCCTTCTTACTCAGCAACAACAACAAAAACAACTCTTGCTCCTTAACTTTGCTCGATCATAATCAAGTATATACATGATTTTCTCTTTAGTTTTTCATTTACATCTTTAATTTACTACATGAATAGACCTCCAAATTGTGCTATAAATGGAACAATCAAAGAGTGTTTCGCGTTTTGAAGCAGCTCAGAAAGCAATAAACTCAATTGGATTGGGTTTTGACATCACAGTAGATATCAACTTTGACAACTGTAAGAGCATTGGTTCACCTTTGATCTTCATCAATAAAGAACTACAACAGTGTCGTGATTTGGAGATTCCTGGTGGTGTTACAGTTCCTAATGTTCCAAACTCTATCAAATGTGTCAGAGGAGAATCTATTAGAATTCACTTAGATGTTCTCACTTCACACCAGGTATATATTATTTTAGATCTGTGTTAAATTATATGAAGAATACAACTTTTAAGACCTGGTTTTTATCTGTTGTTTTAGATGTTGGGGCATTTCAACCATGAAATGCGTCTCGTAGGAGAAATTGCATCAGGCCATTTCTGTGCTTCGTTTGGATTATCCTGTCGATGCATCAAACATTTGGCTTCCATTAAGTCTCTTGCTTATGATGGTTGGTTCATCAAACGCTATGCTGTCGAATTAGAAAGGTATCATGGTGAGCTTAGGGATCATGTCAAAGAAGCCGTGCCATCATCATGGGACCCTGCGGCCTTGGCAAGGTTCATAGAGCGTTTTGGAACTCACGTTATAGTCGGGGTGAGCATGGGAGGGAAGGACGTGATATATGTTAGACAAGATGTGTCGTCTGATCTCAATGATCCGGCTAGTATCCAAAAACTTTTAAAGGAAACAGCTGACATGAAGTTCATGGATTCTGCAGAGAATCGTCGCCCAGCTTCGGAAGACTTAAGCAACAATAAGGAGGTAACAGACCAGTTAATTTCTTGTGCATTCGAAAGGTGTCAGTAGTTTTGAAATTTCTTGATTGCATTGATTTTTCGGTGAAATTGCAGAATCTTTTTATTATACATAGAAGGAAGGGTGGAAGCAGTAAAGAAATGTATCATAGTGAATGGTTGGATACTATTGATTCACAGCCCGACGTTATATCGATGCATCTTCTTCCGTTGACATCCCTTTTGTTGGGTATCCGTGGCAGCGGATTTGTGAGCCATGCGATAAATCTCTACCTTCGTTGTAAGTACTTATTTGATTTGTTTTGCTGCACAAAATTTCATCTCAGAAATTATCTCTTTCTGAAACTGATATAGCTGAACCTGCTTATAAACTGTGATAACTAAAACAGACAAACCTCCAATGGAAGATCTCCATCAATTTTTCGAGTTTCAGCTACCGAGACAATGGGCTCCTATACTTAGTGAAATACGTCTTGGTTCTTACTGGAAGCATCAAGTGAATACGTGGCTACGATTTAGTATCTTCGGTCCAAAGCTTTACATAAATACAATTCCAGTAAGTTTTCTATCTTTCAATTTTAAAGTGTATTTTGCGTAGTTGCTCCGATTCATTCGATTTTCTAGTAAACTATGAGTTTCCGAAGATGTTATGATTCTTTTTCGATACTGTAATACTAGTGCTTAGCTGAACTGCATCATAGTTAATCATACTCCTGCTTTCGTTTCATAAATATTTGAAATAATCGATTTTGATCCTCGCCATTTATGTGACTCGTTTAATAACTCGAAGGCTAATAGAAGCTACTCCATAATATTGGCAGGTAGATGTTGGAAATAGACCAGTAATTGGCCTGAGATTACAATTGGAAGGGAGAAGAAGCAACCGATTAGCCATTCACCTGCAGCACTTGACTTCTCTGCCAAAGTCCTTACCACTCGCGGACAACGCAAATGCTTATCTGTCTTGCGACTCGTATAGCTGCAACTTCCATAAGAAAGTGAAATGGAGCTGTTTTTCATATGTTTGTACTGCGCCCGTTGAATCGGACGATAGTCTTTCCATTGTCACGGGAGCTCAGTTACAAGTTGAAAAGAAGTGTCTCCTATTACGACTGCGCTTCTCCAAAGTTATCGGTGCCACGCTTCAGAAACTACCTGAGTGGGATGGATCCTCCAATCTTGGTGGTTTCAGCAACAAGTCTAGAGGCGTCTTAGCTTTTCTTCCGAAAGAGGGACAAAGGGGTCATCCAAAACCGGGTGATGTGACTATCGGTTCGACAACATACTCTGCTGCACTCCCCGCACCAGTTAACACGCCTAAACTTCAACGATATGTGGACTTAATGGAAAGGATGAGAGGACCAGAAGACAGTCCAGGATATTGGGTTGTGTCTGGTGCAAGGCTTTCTGTTGAGAATGGGAAAATATATCTAGTTGTTAAGTATTCACTATTGAACTTTGTTATACAGTGTGAAACTGAAGTTTCATAGTAGTGCTTTAGTTTAGTATATGTGAAATGTGACTTGTTCTAACAGAATGACTTGTTCGTCTAATCTTGTCTGCAATACTTCTCCTAACCAATTTTTTTTGTGTTTGCCCTTATCCGATGCATTAGTGTTGGTATGATATTAATTAGAGATGTGTGTGATCGAAAGGGAAACTAAGATGGATTTGTTTGAATGCAACAAACCGATAGTGTATGGCTCCCAAATGACATGTCTCAAGTTCAAACTTGTGACAAACAAATTCACACGAGAGAAAGTGAATATTCTGATTTAGAAAAGTTATGGATTTTTTTTATCTAAGAAATGAGATGTTTATGTTCTAATAATTAGAAAAATATTTGCATAGTAAAATATAATAAATATATATATATATATATATATATATATATATATATATATATATATATATATATATATATATATATATATATATATATATATATATATATATATATATATATATATATATATATATATATATATATATATATATATATATATATATATATATCCTCCTCGAATGTCATCAATGACGACTCTCTGATCTTAGAAAATTTGAGTATTTGTGATAAATTTTGAGGAGATCTAAGCAGTTGGTAGCGGTTTCTTCTCTTAACTGTAAGAGTCTGTGTTGCCCCCGTATTGAAAGTATCCATAGAAGTCTCTTTGTTTATTTCCCTACTCTTTTCGTCGTTTGAAGTTCTAAAATGTTCTTCTTTTTCTTCGTTTTGTTTGTGATCATTATCAAAATTCTTGAGCTCCTAACTTTGCTTCGCATTAGCTCGTATCGCAGTTTTTGACGCTTGCCCTTAGTTTCACTGTCCAAAAGGTAATATTCATTTATTTTTCTTCTTCTTCCTTAGTGAGGTTTCTTATCCTCCCATGTTTCTTCTAATGTCTTATATGTAGGATTTATTATTACGGAGGTTGCACTCATCACTCGTTAGAAAGCGGATAAGGATATATGAGCTGTCTGACTGGACCTAGCAATTTTGGAGACTATTATGTTTGCCGATGAACGCGACCTCGACCATGCCTTTGGTGACGTGGGGCCGTCCTCTGATTAGAGGGTGTTGACTCCAGACAAGAATAAGAAGATATGTAATGAATATGATAGGTCATTCATCCCTCGATATGAGTGCTTATTCTCTATCTTGGGTTTCCGTCTTTCGTTGTTAACGACACTAGTTCATTCCCCATCGACGACTATAAAGAACTTTGTAAACGTTGGACGCTTTGCTTCAATTCTCTTAAGGCAAAGGGTCATTAAACATGATTTTCTAATATATTTTTGAAATTGATGTATATAATATTTTTTGGGTTTGATGTAAATGATAGTTTTGGTTTTTTATTTAAATAATATTTATGTTTTTAATATATGTATAAAATACATATACAAAAAATAAGGGGTATATATTGAATAATATTTAAAAAAATTTAAAAATAAATAAATTATTTCACCACGGTTGATTCAGAGGACCGTGGTGACATGTAACGCGCCAAATATAATATACCATACAAATTATGGGAATCTAACCCATGACCTTTAACTATTTAACAAGGGCTAATTAGAACAATTATGGTGATAAATAAGTGGTACCTAGTATATTAAAACGGTCATAAATAACGAATGGCATGATCATTGATAGAAATGGTTACCTCTTATGGCTATAAAACCTTTATTGTTGAATCAAAGGAGTGATCCCGAGCGTTGAATGATGAACAATGCATCTACTCATTCCACATGAACAGATTCCTTCAGTGTCAGTGTTAGCTGCTACGAATGAAGGCTTTAAGTGAGAGAGAGAGAGAGAGAGAGAGAGAGAGAGAGAGAGAGAGAGAGAGAGAGAGAGAGAAGGAAAATACGGTTAGGGTTTCACAGACCAAATTTTCATCAAGCGTGGATGCTTCTGCACAAGAGTTATGTTTATAGAACCACTTGTATAGGCTGAAAAGCCTCTTTAAGTTCATGAACACCATATCTTATGGTGTGCCATATATCACTTAAGCGCTTAGTACCTTAATACATTTCATATTCTACTTAAGTTCACAGTGCCTTATGGTATTCTACATTTACTTAAGTGCATTGTATCTTACGGTGCTCCTTATTTACTCTACCTCTTATCAACATGTCCTTATGTGTGTGACCTTGTAGGTCTTCGCGACGTTGACAATTATATTAAATCACATATTTAACATATAAACGAAGAAAAAGAAGAACGCTTTAGAACTTCAAACGACGAAAAGAGTAGGGAAATAAGCAAAGAGACTTCTATGGATACTTTCAATACGGGGGCAACACAGGCTCTTACAGTTAAGAGAAGAAACCACTACCAATTGCTTAGATCTCCTCAAAATTTATTACAAATACTCAAATTTTCTAAGATCAGAGAGTCGTCATTGATGACATTCGAGGGGGATATATATATATATATATATATATATATATATATATATATATATATATATATATATATATATATATATATATATATATATATATATATATATATATATATATAATATTTAGTAAATATTTGACACTTCTCATGTAGCAATTGAATGGTTAAGACATCTTTGAATGGAAAGGTCCTCCATTTAACTTTTGTTGGAGCCCACGATAGCTTTTTCCTTCTTTTTTTTAATAATTTTACAATTATAAAATTATCTATACATTTAGCTAAATATTTATGATTTTACAATTACTCAAACACTTCTCATGCATTAGTCGAGTGATTAAGTTAAGCTTTGTTTTTTATTTGTTATATTTTCATTTTATAATTTTTAAATATTGAATGTATTAATTTTATTTTATATCTCTAATTTCAAATGATTTTTTTGATATAATATTTTCAAATTGATAATCTACTTTCAAGTCAAGTTTTGTTCTTGATTATTATATATATTATAATTTTAAATTTTTATTTAAATTTTTTTATAAACTTTAATAATATTTATAATTAAATTTTTAAAAATTCGATCATATCATTAATCATCAAATTTTTATGATTAAATATAATTTATTATCATTTGTAAATGTGTATCTTCAACAACTATTTTTGTGCAATACTCTCTTACTCAATGCATTAATTTGATTTAATTCTATCAATATCAATATAAAATTCACATCTCCTTCCTTAATCCGTTTTCAAATTTCACATATCTATATCTCTTTTAACTCTTCATCGTGGAACATTCATCTCTCACACGTCAGCCACACTGCCGCCACGTTAGTGACAAACACAGCCACCTTCCTTTCCTTTAAGTATGACATAGTGATTTTCTTCCCCAATCTCTCTCTTTTGTGTGAATCAAAAGGTAAAATGAGAACACAAAGAAAATAAAAATTCAAAATTAATTATTTAATTTTTTTTATTACGAATCAATTTTTTTATTTGTCCTAAACCTCTAAAAATCAGAACCGATGCTAATTAAGTTAATAATAACAAATAAATAAAGATATTGATTTGGTTTAAGTTAATAATAACAAATAAATGATTATATTAAATTACTTAGATTATAATTTAGATTACTATTTAAAAAAAGTCATTTGGAAATTTAAAAGCAATTAAAGAAAATTATGTAAATTATAAAAATAAATTTTGTTCATAAGCATTTATAGAAATATATAACTTATTATATAAAAATTTTAATAATAAATATCTATAGAGATAACAAAAAGATTAGTTTAATTTATAATAATAAATTAAAAATAATATCTACTACTTTTGAATAAACTAACAAAAAGATATATTTAAAAATATAATTTTTTTTAAATACATAACAAACAGTTCATTATTCACGTTAAAGAGCCACTTAAATATAAAAAAAATTTAACCCAAATCAAATAGCTAACTAAGAATCAAATGACCTTGATGTATAAATAAATTTGCGGAGATTTTTAGACCTATTTAAAATTTTCAGCTTGGATTCAATGCTTTGATTATATCTCTATGAATCATACATTTATTTTTTTATTTAAACTTTTATCCTCATCTATAAGAATATCGGGTGCGGAGACGTGGATTCGAACTTGCGGCATCTCACTTATTCATAAATGGACTCCAAATCCCAATCATTTTAACTCGAGCTTTTCAGCTGGATAAACCTCTTTTATTGTACTCATCCTATTTACTTTCTTGGTTGAGATTTTGTGAATCTTCTCTTTGTTTTTATGACTAGATGTCTTATTTGGTTGTGCATCTTTTTCTCCACCATTCTTCCTGCAAAAATCAAAGATAGAGTCAACTCAATGAAATAAACACTAATAGAATCAGCATTATGTGGCAGCCTAAAAAATGAGCAGAAACCTTAGGTTGAGAAACATGAATAACAAACCAACAGCAGTAGCACCACCCAAGACTGATCTTAACAGTAGTTTCTTTTGGGATTTTGATTTTGGTATTTCTATTCTACCTTCTTCTGTTTCAACTATATACTCTAAGGAGTGCACACTCTCATCGTCTGGTTTTGCTTCTTCCTGCATAACAAAATTTCATTACAGATTCAATTTGCATTCGGAAATGAATCAATATAAGCATGCCTGATAAAGGATCTAAATTATACACTAACTTTAATACGCACCAGAGAATTTTCTGGAGGGTAAACATGATCCGTGTCGTATTGAGATGCCTGATGAGCCTCGTTGCATTCATGTTTTGAGCTTTGATCTGTTGTGCCATGCCCAATGTGAGACACATCTACTTCACAGTTGGTAGGAGTTATCATATCTTGTATTCTCTGACCTCCATCTCCAATGTCTTGAGCTGACGTGACATCTATGCCACAAGAATTGCTAGTCTCGTCGTCCTGAGTGGGACCATTGTTTAGTTTACCATCACTCTCCAACTTAATAGCGGCTGCACTAACTATATCTTCATTGCTTGGCACGCAAGACAACATAATTTTGGACATCAAAACTTCAGAATCCTTTTGTGTATTAGGTGCTGCAGTTTCCTTATGAGAGATATCTTCCAAAAAATGTGAGGAACTTAGGCTATCTTTCATTCTATTTGATGCTGTAGCAATTTTTCCTTTCTGATCCCATTTACAAAACTCAGGCAAATAGTCGCAACTATCGTTATCCGAGCACCTGGAATCAACTTGTGACTCCATCACTTCGTCTGCTAGATACTTTTTCAGTAGAGTTGAGCTAATGTCAGTTTTAGTAATGCAGGAGTGACAATCAGGAGAATATAATGAATGCTCTATTTCCTCAAATTTATTTACAGAATATGACAATTCCTTGCAGTTCATTAAGTCTTGAGCATCATATTCTTTTATCTTGTCCCAATGATCATTATTGTCATTGTATAATCCAAAGGACTCAATTTTCTGATCATTATTCTCCGCATCAAATAAATCTCCCAAATTCAGTGGTTCCCTAGCCAAACAGTTTACGCCAGCTACATGCAGAACCTCCATATTATCAGAAATATCAAAACATCTACCTATTTCAACAGTCTCCGGAGTTGTGTTTAAACCATAAGAACTAACACTTTGATGTACATTTGGTGTACTATTTATTTCACCAATCACATGAGTGTCCTTTTTATTTTTTGCAAATAATGTAGCATCCATAACTGATGTTCTGTCATTTATAGGAGTCCCGGTGACAGAAGCCTTACTTCTAAACAAAGCATGCTCAAAGTCATCGTAGTCTATGATCCTACTCTCTTGAACTTGCTCTACTCTAGTATCAAAATGAGATTTCATACCAATTACATCGACGTTTTGATTTCCACAAGAAGAAGATGACATCCAAATCAGACTGCAATCGTATTCTTGTTCTATATTGTCAGAGCAATGATACTCTAATGATTCCAATGAAGATAACAATTCAAACTCAACATTCGATATCTCATTTCTCGGTTGATTTTGAGTATCCAATTGATCTAAATCTTCAGACACAAAACCACTTTCACCCATTAAAGATGGTATATTGTAGCTTATCTCTGACTTGTACTCGCAGAAGTCATCATCATGTAATTCAGGAAACCGATGCATGATTTCTGTGTCATTAGCCGGGTCTGAATAGGTCATGTAATCCCTATTGGAGCTCGTAACCGAGTAACCCTACAAAAGCATAATTCTCGATCTATAAAAGTAGCAAAATGATTTGGTAGAAGCATGCATAAAGCATAGATTACATTTACAAAGAAGCCTACAAACCTGACTAGATTTTCGTCTCGCAGGCTTCTGTAAGTGTTGACCAGAAGAATCTACATGAGACAGCTCTATGCTTCTGCGTATGCATCCAACCATATCTTTCGGCATGGCTACCATACATGTTACAATATCAAAATCTGGAACCTGTCACCACATTTTTCACATTAGCAGAAACTACATAATAAAATATAAAGACAAATGAATTAAGATTATGAGGAATATCATGAAACTTACTTACATTTATACTCAATGACCTTGATTTTTTCGAGAATGATCGTACACACATACAAACTTTTCGAGTATTTTTTCTCTCAACGACATCTGACGGAGTGAAGAGATCAATCCCAGTCAATCCCAAGATTTTACAGATCTATACATCACAAGATTTAGATATGCTATTATTAACATTTGATAAAACTATTCAAAATATGTGTTAGTATCAAAGAATTTACCTTGAGAAATGAATCAACATTTGAATAAGGCCTATAGATGCCACTGTTTCTCTTGGAAGAAAATGGATGATTTTTGTATGCTTTTATGTGCCTAAGCTCCATATGCTTTTCCAACAGCAATTTCCATATTACTTTCGATACTTGAAACCTAAACACCAATTAATTATAATTAGATTTCAAAATTATATGTTAACACAAATAATGAAATTAATTATGCAAAACAAACATAACCATATGAAATTGTCAGAACTGACCTCCTAACCAGATTATCGGCCACCTGGGCCAGATACTCAGCGGTAAAAATAAAGAAAAATAATATAAAAAAAAAAAGTAAAAATGAAGATAGTTACAGCAATTCTCCATCCGCAAGTAATTCAGATGTAACGAGTTGATCATCCAATCTTATCTGCAAAACTTCTCCTAGCCATATTCTGGTTTGAGTCTGCAATTTAAAGAAAATCCAATCGATGAAATTTGATTCGTTACGCAAAATATGAAGAAGAAACAACAGTGAAAATGAAGAGAATGATAACTGAATGGTGATAATTAAACCTGCAAGAATGCATCGTCGAGTTCACGGAAGCTGGATTCAGCAAAGGAGGATGAATGAGGAGGAAGGTCAATAGTCGATGAAGATTCTTCACAGACCATTGCTCTGTTTTCCCCGAAAGAAACAGAGACTAATTACAATACAAAAGTGAAAAGAAAAAACATGACAATCTTAAGCATATACGGAGTACATGTTAGCTTTTGTGGGTTGGACAAAAAGTGTGGTGGAGTGAGTTACATAAGACACTGCGGAGATTCTGGCTCTCTTTTTGTGTTGTATTGGTAAATTGGTATGGTAATAGTAGAAAATAATAGAAAAACTAAGAAAAAGAGTGTGTGGATATGATTTGATGATGTTGGAATTATTAACGCTTCTTTCCGTTCCGTTCATTCCTATGGATGGATGGGTCAGCATCACCGATTTCTCAATATGTCTTCTCAATTCATTCTGTTTATTCACTCTCATTTATTTATCACTTTTTTTTAGAAGTCATTTGTTTATGAACTCCTTTTTACTACAACAACTTTACTTTTATCAATGCATTTTGACTTCTCTCAAAACAAAAAAAAAAAAAAAAAAACAACTTTCACCAAATAATGCTACCACCCCTCTTCTCTAATTATTATATTTTATATTTAAATGCACTTTTGGTCTCAATAAATTAACAAGTTTTTAATTTTAGTCTTTATCATTTTATCAATTTTTTTGTCTGAATCTCTATATCTCATTTTTTGCATTCGATTTAGTAAACAAAATTCGTAGGAAATATGCGGATTTTTTCTTTAAAGACTAAACCGCATACAAGAAGTAAGATATAAGGACTCAAACAAAAAAAATTTACAGAGACCAAAATAAAAAACTCACTAATTTACTGGGACCAACGGACTATTTAAGCTATAATTTTTTATTCAATCAATAACTAATATATTTGATATATATATATATATATTGGTAAGAATTTTGAGTTTTTTTAAAAGGAAAAGGCTTCACGGATAGAAAAAATTGCTATATGTTATATATATATATTTATATATAATTAAGATCAAATGACACTAAAGTGTCAAACTTAGTAACATGACACCTTTGATAACTCTTCACTCTATGTCTGTATAACAAAATTTACCATTGGATATAAAACCTATTATCATATAGATCATGCATATAAAATTTCACATCAATCAAAAATTATTTGATATGTTAAAGAGAATGATAAAAATTAGCGGTTGTCATGAAGTTTTGCAAGACGTTCGTTTTTATGTATCTTGTTGACATGTCAAATGATTTTCGATTGATATTAAATTTTGTAGACATGAACTATATGATAGTAGCTTTCAATCCAACGGTGAATTTTGTTATACAGACATAGAGTGAAGAATTATCAGAGGTGTCATGTTATTAAGTTTGACATTCTTAAGTGGTTACCTCTTTTTTCCTTTGACATTTCGCCTTCTTTTTCTTGCAACTATTATTGCGACATGGCTAAAAAATAACATAAAAACATAAAGAGAAACTAGGTGAACCCATCATCTCCATGGGAAGGTTCAGTATACTATTCGACTATTTCTGTTTTACCAAAAAAGAGAGTCTAAATAAGGCATTCTCTGAAGTAGGAGAATCGTCCCTTTAGGGTCTCACTATCCCTAGTGAAAATGAGAGAATATGTAGTGACTATGGTAATTGTACCATCCCTCTGTATGAATATCTCTTCTTAATCTTGGATGTTCGTTTTCCCATCACCAACTTTGAGATAGGTATTTTCAAGTATTTGATGGTGATTCCTTCTTAACTTCATCACACAAGTTAGGCGTATGTGAAGGCCTATCAGTATTGTTGTGAATACTTGAAGGAGAAACCTTCTGTCGTCCTGTTTTTTCATCTTTTTTATAGCATCCAGGGTACTTTGACCCGCCCAAGATAACGAGAACTAGTTCTTTTGGTGCCGATGATACATATTTTTAAAGATTTTTCTAGCTTGCCGCCCTTCACCGATTGATTCTTATTTCTCACTCTTCTTCATCCTTAAGCTCACGCAACCATCTACGGGGTTGAGCCGAGAGTTAAAGGTAAGTTCAAACCTCTATTTACCCATTACTGGTCGGTGAAGTACTTTCTTCTGGTGACTGGCACCTACGTTTACAAAAAAGAAGATTTCCTGGTGGGGATTCTTTCCAAAAGAATAAACTATTGGAGTTTGTTAACCGCCTAGGTTATTTCGGAGGTGTAGTCCCCTCGGATGAGGCTGATAAATTTTTTTGAAGTGTTTGATAGATGTCTCATTGTTGATGGGGTCTTGCTCTTGCAAGGGTCATCGGTCTGCCTTTGATTGTAGTGGGGAAATTTGTGACTGTAAGCTATTGATTAACTTAACTCAAAAATGCGAGAGTCGCCACCGCACTTTTATTTTGTCCAAAAAAGGAAAGGAAAAAGAGCTAACAAAACCAAAGAGTTCTAATGCAAGAACAAATAAATAGAGATCTGGGTAAGGGGGTTGGTTACACAATAGAAAGGTGTTAGCACCCAAAACGTCTATAGTACTCTATAGGAGCCCTTTGGAATATCTACGCTTTTTAGTTTGAAAAAGGTTTGTTTGAAAAGAGATTGGGGGAGGTGAGAAAAGAATTATTTTTTTTAGATTTTTGTGTTTAGAGAGACTTATCGCCTCATGCCTACGTACCCACAAAGTGCAATATAGGATCAAAACCTCGTAGTTCATGGTAAAAATAACAAAAATTGGTTGGTTTTGATTGATTTTTAAATGTAAAGACAAGTCGTCATTTTAAGGAGAAAATTATGACTAATCACCCACAAGTATAAGACAACACTTGCATCACCTAAAGATGGAGGATTTTGCTTGGATTATCAATGAGTCTATCACTCAACATCTAAGTGGAAAATGTCAACATCTTAATATTATGGAGAATAGGAGAATTATATCTCAACTATGGAAATGACTCATGTCTAAACTTTATGAAAAGTTTTAAAATGAAAAGTGCGCAAAGGCACAAAAAGTTTGAATGAGGTTGATCTTTTTTAATGTCTTTTTGAAATTTGTCAAAATATAATTAATATTGATTGACATTTATTAAAGAAAACAAAGTTTGAAAATTATTTGACAAAAGTCAAGGTTTTATTGTGAAAGCAGTTTTAAGTTTGAAAACAAGAAGGTTTTTCAAAAAGGGAGGAGATTTTGAAAATTTAAGAAGGGGAGGAGATGAAGTGACTACCCTAGAAAGCAAAATAAAAGCTAGAGATAAGAAGGATCTAACCAACTTGTAGCACACTCCATAGCAAGCCAAATAAGAATTCCATCCATCTTGAAGCATAAGCCATTAAGCAAGCCAAATAAAAGCAAAGATCCATAATACTCCAAGCATAGGGAAAGAGTCCTAACTCTAAGTCCAAGGGTCCAAGAATAATCCAAGAAGTTCAAGGTCTAAGAATAGTTCAAGAGCATAGCCACAAAGTTAAAAGCACCAAGTTTTTTAGAGGTTTAATCCTTTATTAGTGTTTTGAATAAGATATGGTCCAAGTGGACAAAATAAAAGAGCGGAAACATAAACATGTGTCCAACGGACAAAGGAAAAATAACGGAAGCATAAACAATAATATGATATGAGATGATAATAATGGAGCATAAAGATAAAAGAGAGATAGGGAGCAAGAAGGAAACATAAACAAAATTAGCACAATGATATCGTTAGTGAGTTAGTGATTAGTTGTTAGAGCAAATGATCAACGATGGTTAACTCATGCACTTAAGCCAAAGTTGATGAAGACTCATTAGAGGATTGATAAAATCAAAGCCTCCTAACAACAAGTTTCATAAGTGATGGACTTAAGACAAATAATCAACCATACTTGGACTTTCAAACATAGGGTTGAGCCACGAATGATCTCTTTCTGATTATGGGACAATTTAGCGCTATGTTAGGCAACCGTAATCAGGTTTATGTAGAAACCACGACTATCTGAGGTCTGTCAATAACAATGTTAGTGTTAACGCATGCTAGAGAAGTGATATGTAGATCACTCTCCAAAAGTAATGCCGCACAAAAAGAAAAGTAGGTAACGATCTCATCTTCATCAAGAACTTAAAATAAGTTCAAAAGATATCGAAGATTTTCATCGATCAAAAGAAAAAGAGAAGATGAGAGGGAATTCCAAATTGAATTACAAGTTCAAGATTATTCCATCTTTAAGTTCATCCACTCATCTTGGTGGATTAAAGTACTAAATATATCATTAACTCAAAGCACCTAAAATAAATTGAACAATTCACTTTAAAGATAGATTTGAATTAATGAATGTTTACCCAACTTCATCTACATCCTAAGTCCAATGAATTTAAAGAGAAAAAGGACCTTTAAAAGTGCATTCCAAGACAAAAATCAAAAGGAAATGGAAGAAGAAGAAGAAAGAACCAAAATAGTCTCAAACGAAGCCAAAAGGGCAAAAAAAAGACACTAGGTAACCGGTTACCCAAAGCTGGTAACCGGTTACCACTCCTAAAATAGCAGAAAAATAGCAAAATAACATTGGGTAACCGATTACCCAAATTAGGTAACTGGTTACCACTGCCAAAACAGCAGCAAAGCAGTCTGAAAATATGCAAAAACTTGATCAATCATTTTTCAAACACCTCATGATCAAGGATGCAATTGAGCATAAAAATTCAAGTAAAATAACAGCAATCAACACCAATATAACACAATTTACAAGATCCAAAGATCAAGCAACAAGAATCAATAGTGGATCACATTGTGGAAGATGTATCAAGAGAAACGATGACGGATCAAGAAATTACCACTCAAAATCTGGAAATTATTCAAATTAGCTCCATAAACCACACTTCAAAGCCTTGATCTACTAGAATTGATGATGAAAAAGTGAATGGATGAAGGTTTAGCTCAAAGATTAGTAAGCTCTAATGATGAACTTACTAACTTTCAAAGGATGAAAGAGCTTTGGTGAATTTGAATCTGGAGGGAAATTAATGATCAAGTGGTGATTAGTGAAGGTGTATGGTGAAAATTAATTATGATGAGGTAGGGGATTTAAAATGAAGTGATCTAGAATATTCTCATGTTGCAATATTTGAATT